AAAATTCAACAAGTATTAAATACAAAGTTTTTATCATTTCCCTGATTATTCTCTAAGAAAAGCTGATCCCTTATCATAAACTATTTTATAATTGTTTTTCACTAGCCCTACATATATACAAACTATCATCTCAGTGTAAACCAACATGCCAATAATAAAATTAGGGTATCAAAAAGCAATAAAAAAAAAAACAATGAAAAATGTGCTAGCACATGAGGATTTACAAGAAAATTTGACCACATTCKTATGTACTTGGATAGATTTCCTATTATAATTGTACATGTACTACACTAAGGCCGAGGTTATAAGTCTGACCTCAAATGTACCAAATGCAATTACATCAAAGAGGATAGATAATCTATTGTTTGAGTTGCATTTGACATATGTGAAGTTTGATGTATAACCTTAGTCTCTTTCAACAGCCGCGACTTCCGGTCTCGTCAAATTTCCTCACCAAGAAAAAAAGTTACTTTTGGGGAGGAAATTTGACGAGACCGGAAGTCGCGGCTGTTGAAAGAGACTAGTATAACCTAGGCCTAAGAGTCCCTTTGTATACAAGTTGTTTTCATGGATAATTATATGATAAACAGAATATTATACGTGGTTGCTTGGAGATAACGATTATCAATCTCTCACTTGTTTGCTACCCTGACTCATGAGAGAACTTTTCAACACTTGAGGATAAAATCTGTATGATCTCCAAACATATGTAATATCCTCTATACATTGTCTTATGATATGAGAATAGTGTTATTATTATTGAGGACCCAGTGTAATATTTTCAGGTTAATTTCCAGCAGAAAAATACACAAACTTCAAACAAATACTTAAGTATATATACAAATATTGTATGTATATAAATTTACCATATATTTAACTAGTATGCAAAATACATAAAAAACTTAAGTATCATGAGCCTTCTACTATGTACAGCTATGCAGTAACATCAAGCTGCTGCATTCGAAAACAGCATGTTTTTATACATTCTGCATACCTCCAAAGTAATTATAAAAGTGATATTTAAAAGCTGATTTAACTTAGAGGTTAGCTATACATGTGAATTTTCAAATGCAGATAAGCATTCAACTTTATAACTTATTAGTAAGTTGTACTCAGCTGTCATCTTGCCGAGTTTTTCTTTGATTTGACTTAAACTTGCGCAGAACTGTTGAAGAGAAGATACCATATTACTATACACATCAGTGTTCATTTAATCATTATAATCTAATCATTATAATCTAAGGTCAAAAAAGTCACCGAACCGATCTTACACTTTATACTCCTTGTGCAGTGTGAATAGTTTCACGTGCATATTTTATGTACCCGGCATCGAAACTAAATCACGATTTTCATCACTAAACCTAACCAAAACATAAACCTAATGCTAACACAGGACTAAACCAAAATTTTCTTCATTAATCATGTTTACTTCTTTCGAAATAGAACGTTTTGACTTCCACAAGCTTTCAAGATCTTTCTATAGTAAATAAGTTACTGAAATACATGTACTCGTACTCACCGATTTCCAGCAGCAAAGTGTAAAATAGTTCACCTAGGTCGTTTAACAGATCTCAGATAAGACATCAAATCATGATTCTGGTTCTTGGAAGCATTGTGAACGCTAAAAGGGCTAGAATTCTTGTTGAACTCGTGCTAAGACAACAATCGGATAACCGTTAAAGTGGCGAGGTTTCAAATGATGGAGGATCGCAAAGACCTATGGGATCGTAATATGAGGAGCTCATCACCAGGTCCTCTGCTGGTCCTCTGTACTATTTTATTATTTTATTTTATTTTATTATTTTGTGGTGTTTTTTATGGTATTTAATCTGGCCACGAGTCATTCCGACTTGAATACTTTTGTAAATCATCGCAAACTTGTATGCGGTTTCATCTTCGAACGAATTTGACTCAATTATTCGCCCTTTTGCATGCGGTACAGTACTGAATTCCCCA